CACACACACACATGTGAAGGTAACACATTCTGCAGGGACTCAAATGTCCCTGTTGTCTAGTTTGCTTTCAAGAAGTCATTGTACCGTTGCTCACTCTCTACCTTCACAACGATTAGCGGTGGCTTTCGACAGCACACTGTTGTGGGTGTGATCCCAGGGGTCGCAGTGTGGCGGCCTAGCAGTCTCAGGGTTGCTCAGGATTTAGGGGTAAAACACACTCAGCAAACACCTAGTCAAACAGAACCAGGCTTCATTTTTTTCTGAAAGTAAGCTGAATGGCATTACTACAGGATACAGAACGCGCTTGATATGGACTCATTTCCCCGCTGTGACAGTGTCTTCATGCCAACAGGCACAAGAACCACTGTTTCAAAATGTCACAGAAGTGGAAATTAGGGGGGAAATCCATTCAGCTTGAAAGGTTATAGCTCAAGGCTCTGAAGCGCATCACGTGGCAAGAAACACCAAGAAGGAAACAAGACACATGAATCATGTTAAACTTAAAGTTCTTCAAGCCCCGATGAGGGGCTTCACATAGTTCCGGGGAAATCTCATTGTCTTTCCATTGCATTTCTTCCACACACTCTTTGAATTCCCCTTGTATTCAGCCTCGGAGGCAATAACGTGTGGGTCAGACAGGACGATGCTGTCCCGGAACTGTAACTGGGGCTGCCTGGAAAGTGACTCCCTCAGCATCCGTCTCAAGTGACCCAAGTCACTACGTTATGAACCAGAGCGTCCATTCTGCAGGCAGTGTATGAAGCCAGGGAAAGGTTTCTAGTGAAAATTAAGCTATGATGATGAATTTGTTTCCCAGAGTAAACTGCAAAATAATGAGATGGAAGTTGTCCTCCACTCACCCGCAGGCTCTATGAGCCAAGTCGGCTATTCAAAAATGAGAGGGTCTTCATCTGGCCACTAGACGCCTAGTCCTTTAGCCTGTCTTACTCTGACGTGATGTCCTTCCATAGAGAGAAGAATGTACTGTAGTTAAAATCCCTCTGTAGCAGTTTCGACTAATGAGCTCGGGCTCAATGAATTCTAGAGCACTCTGTGTAGCCCTGAAATGCAGGACGTCATCAAACTTTCCCTCAGTGGAGTATATCCTCAACCGTACGTGCGGTCAGTCCCTTCGGCAGGGCAGCGACTCATCTACTCTCACTGGGAAATGAGCTCTGAAGTTGAATTTTAGAAAATTCAACTTAAGATGCTAACTTCTGAAAATGTCTTTATAATGGAAAGCTCAGCACATTGCGAAGACTTCACACACACACACACACAC